CCAGAAGTCATGTGACTGGAAAGACTGGCCTTTCCTCCACCTCTACCCTGTGAGGAGAGAAGACGTCACTGAAGACAGGTGCCATTTTTAGTAAATTCTTCACATGGTTACAATAACTGAAAAATAGTAAAGCCTTGAGGTTTTAAAGCTGCTTCTGCTCATAGGATAGCCAGGGAATTGATTTTAGTAGTGTCCTCTACAAATGGGTATGTCAGCAGTCCACGCACAGTTCAGCATTCGCTCCAGGCACCCTCCCTGGTATACAGAAGGTTCAGACTTGGATGAACTTAACTGCCATTTATTACATAACTGACGCTCTGGCTACATGGCACTTACCAGACAGTGACTTGCTGAGAGCAGGTAGCCGAGCTTACTAGAGAAAGAACTTACCTGGTCACAACCACCACAGCTCTGGGCTGGGTGTGTGGCTCAGTGGTAGAGCATCTGCTGGAGCAAGTACACGGATCTGGGTTTGATCCCTAGCCACCCCCACACACTATGCCGCATGGCTCAGATGGAAGTGAATCCCTCAACTATGGATCAGAGCCTGTCTGTGAGCTCACTAGTCACCATCCTTAGCATCTAAGGAGGACGTCGCTGTGTCTTCAAAGCTGCCGGAAGACATTGCTGTTTCAGCAGAACTCTGAGGAGCAAAGGCTCTCCCACGCCTGCTGCCTTTCTGAAGCCCAGAGGAGAAAGTAGCCCCTTTACAAACAAGGTCTTTGGCCAAGAATACCACTGCCCACCAGTGGACTTGGCACAGTGGCACTCCTAAAGAGTGTCAGATAAAGAGACCTGGAGCTCTGGCTGATCTGTATAAAGTCAGTTTTAGAAAACATAATTGAGAGTTTTGTAACAGTTGGTTCAGAGAAAACAAGGAACAGGAAACCCCTCACCTACCACCTCATTCCAAGCCTGAGAGATACTCTCCCTTTCCGTAGAAAAAGATGTGTTTGCTTGACCTGATAACTTACACACTGGCAGAGATTACAGAGCTACAGGTCACCAGCTCCAGCTACATGCATCTGTCATCACTGTCCTTTGGGAGAGAGAGCCAGGCAGATCTCTGAGCTCAAGGCCAGTCTGGCCTGCAGAGCAAGTTCCAGGACAGTAAAAGTTACACAAAAACCCTGTCCCAAAAAAACTAAAAAAAGAAGAAAAGCTGTCATCCTACTGAGCTGTGTCCAGCCTTGTCCTGGAAATGTTCCCGTGTGTGCACACAAAGACGTGGTATCAGGCAGAATGAGAACTGAAGGGCTTCCTTTAGAGAGAGGCCTCTTCCCTGGGGTCCTCTGCAAGCCAGTGGCACAAGCATGACCAACGCAGATGCGTGGGGGTTGATGGCAAAGTGCTCACTCCTGGCCTTGTTATCACACATTTATTGGGTTGTGTGTGCTAGGACGTCTTCTACAGCCCAGGCACACTTAGAACTCTACATAGTCCAAGATAGCCTCAGAGTTGGAATCCTCCTGCCTCAAACTTCCAAGTGCCAGTATTAACCAGTGCCATCATGATGCATTATGTATGGGTAGTTTGCCTGCACAGATGTTCTTGTAATACCTGTGCAACTGATCCCTGCAGAGGTCAAGAAGGGATCATCGGAGCCCCTTGAACTGGAGTTACAGTTAACAGTACACCCTGTGAGTGCTGGGAATTGATCCAGGACCTCTGAAAGAGCAGCCGGTGCTCTTAACCACTGAGCCATCTTTCTGGCACCTTTTTTGTTGCTTTTTGAGACAGTCTTAGATAGCAGAGACTGGCCTTGAACTTAATGTATAGTCAAGGATGACCATAAATGTCTGATCCTCTTGCCCTCCTCTCCGAAGTGCTAGAATTATAGGTGTGCATCACCACACCTGGCTTACACATTGGTGGGGATGGACCCAGGGCTTCATACAATTTAGGCCGGCACTCATTCCCAACCCTACATAATTTCTTTTGCAAACTGGATCTTCAGCATGGAACAGCTTGAGAAGTAGCCACAACCACATCAAGGATCTGGTGATAAGAGCAGCAACACGCAATACCAAGGACAGTGGGGATCGCTTACTTTGCAGCTAGCCTCTGCAGGCGCAGGCCTGGACAGGAAACATAGAAGACAGCAGAGGATTTTGGGGGGTCCAAGGTGCACATCCACCTGTAATCCCAGCACGCAGGAGGCAGAGGCAGACATCTCTCTGAGGCCAGCCTGGTCTATATAGCAAGTCCCAAGCCAGCCTGGGCTATGTAGTGGGGCTCCAACTCAGTACAACAACAAAATTTAACAAGTTCTACAGATCAATACAAAGAAGAGAGAGAAACACAAATCACCAACGTAACACCTGAGATACTGAAACCGGTGGTTGAACAGTCGGGTCAGCCCAGAACTCTAGCCAGAGTGAAGGGAATGTGGTGTTTTGCAGCACTGTGTGGGACAGGCCTCTTGTCTCAGGCAGTGCACACTGCAGGGCAGGAGCTCAGACCCCAGACCTAGAGCTTTCGGGTCTCAAGAAGCCTAGGTTAGGAGCTGGGGGCTGCAGGTGGCCACCAGAGAGCTTTAGCCACGGTCTGCCACTTCCCGGGGTTTGTATTTGGTTGTTGGCCTCTTGTTCAGTACCACCCACCGTTTGTCCATCTCAGCTCTCAAGTACCTAAGGCCACATACATGCATGCTACTGTCTCTCCAAAGAAAGGTTCTTTCTCTTGCAGCCCTGGGATGGGGTGGGAGAGCAGGGCCTCTGTGGAAACTTGCTTTTCTTTAGTGTGAACCCAAGTTTGTCAAAAGCTTTGGTTCCAACATGTTCCAGCTTGTCCTCAATGGAAACCCAGGACAGGACGGAAGCAGTGACACATGCCAGGCATGTGCAGACATGGTTTCATAGTCCTTCAATAAGGGGAGTCCAATTTGACAGATGTCCCCACCAAGGGCACTGGCAATGGGGCGTGTCTGTGGTCACACTCACTGTGGAGAACCGAATGGACCTTTTAGGAATCCCATGTGTCTCCCTACTACATGGAAGGCTAAGGCAGGTGGAATACCAGGCCATATAGCAAGACTCAAAAATGGTCAGAGTGAAGAGAGAATACAGCCCAAGAGGAACACATTTTGATGTCGGTTTTAACAGCAAAGCTGTTATGTCACCAGCCCCACACAGCATAAGGATGACCTCTTAATTGCCCCTATAGGGAAGTAGGGCTGGCTCAGTGGTTAAGAGAACTGGCTGCTCTTCCAGAGGACCTGGGTTCAATTCCCAGCACCCACAATAATGGCTCACATCTGTCTATAACTCCAGTTCCAGGAGATTGGATCCAGGGATCCACCACCCTCTTCTGACCTCCAAGATCACCAGTCATGCAAGTGGTATACAGACATACATGCAGACAAAATACCCATACACATAAAATAAAAAAAAAAAAATTTAAGCCAGGCAGTGGTGGCACACGCCTTTAATCCCAGTATTCGGAAGGCAGAAGCAAGTGGATCTCTGTATGAGGCCAGCCTGGTCTACACGGTGAGTTCCAGGCCAGCCAGGGCTACACAGAGAATGACTGTCTCGAAAGAAAAATAACAGTTTTAAACCAGAGAAGGACCGAGATGGGTCTTAAACCCCTAACAGTGACAATGGTGACGTCCCCCCCCCCCAGGCAACTGAGGTTGGAAGGCCACAGAGAAGGACTTTCTAAGCCCTAGCCTACGAAGGTCGGGAAAGCAGAAGAGCTGCTGAGTTGATTCTAGAGGCATCCCTGTCTGACACATCCTCAGGCTGGTTCACATGCTCACCTCTGAGACAAAGGAGCACCAATCTACAGGGAGCAGAAGACTCATCATTAGTTCCCAGTCTGTGGTTTTGCAGGACTCTGAATCTGTTCAGGTGACACAGTGCATGGTGACTCTACTCTCTTCAGCTGGTTCTCAGTGTGGGTACCCAGCTCCCCTTCTGTCACTGACAAGCACAGACTGCCCGGCTGCTGGCTATCATGAAAGCACACAGGCCTCTCCCCCAGACAGCAGGCTCAATCACCTTGTTACCATCATCAGTGCCCAGAAGATCCTTCAGAGCTCAGGTGGGCAGCACAGGACTCTAACTTCAGACAGGGCAACATATTACAACATGTTGCCAAGAATTCGCCATAGGCAGTTATTTCTGCCACTGCGCAGATAGGTGAGCCAGTCCACATCAGTCCTAGAAAAGCTCAGAGGGAATCCTTACCTTCCTTACCTTTAATATCAGCAGGTGCATTTTTTTTTTAAGTCAAGGTCACATGCAGCCCAGGCTAGCCTTGAACTCAGTATCAGCTGAGAATGGCCTGAACAGGAGTTAAGCTCACTAGTGCTAAGATTACGGGGATGCACCACCATATCCGGTTCATGTGGTGTTAGGGTTCAAACCCAGGGCTTCCACTACTGAGTCACATCCCCAGCCTGTACTGCGCCATAGGCTTCTCAGGAATATGGGAAAGAGCGATTTCCTGGGTATAGAACCCAGCACCTCTCATCTGAAGTGAGTGCTCATTTCTTCCAGCCTGATAAAGCTCACAGGAAAGTCCTCTCCCAGGAAGGCGCTGCACAGTCTCACACATTCTCATTCAAGGTTTTGGGAAGAAATACGTAAAGGATAAAATACAGGTTAATTTTATAGGTGAGTCAGCCAACGGGTGGTAAAAAGATGAGAAGAAAGGCAGGCAGCTTAGCTGAGGAAAGGGAGAAAACTCACTTACTACAATCAGAACATTAACCTGGGGCCTTAACTCAATGTTGGAACCCTTGCCTAGCATATGAGGTTCTGGGCTTGGTCATCAGCACCAAAAACAAAGAAAAGCAAAACAGAGGTTGGAGGGAGGAACAGAGAACAGAAGGCAACAGAACTGAGCTATGCTGACCCCAAAACTTTATGCCTGCAACCAGCTCCACTTGTCAAGATTCTGGGTGTCCAGCTACCTCCGTGTAAGGAAGTATACTGAAGAGCATGGGAACAAACCACACAACTCGAACTTCATTCAGTGTAAAAGCTGCTTTATTGGGGGGTCGAATACAGAAAATAAAACCAACACTCTATAGAAAGTGCATTTTAAAGTGAATTATCACAATTTTTCATCTTGTTTTTAAGCCTCACAGATCTGACAAATGATTAGAATGGAAAAAGGTAAGGCTGGGTTTGAGGCGAGACAAAGCTAAGTCAGTGAGCACACAGCTCAGCTGAGTTACTACCTTGCCCAGGCCTCTGTGACTGGCACCCTGGTCTCCCGTGCCTGGAGTTTGTCCAAGGTTTCAGTCAATGATCTTGACTCCTGATCCATCCTGGTCTGGAGCCAGGAACCACACAAAGATGTGGCCTTCATCTCAAGCCACCAACAAGAATGTTGTCCCATTGCTCTGGGGCTGGACACCACTGGCCCCAGCGTCTGGGTGTCCACTTTCCTGTACTCAGTAGATAAGCCAAGGCAGACCCCATTGTCTTACTGACCATAATGGGCCTGCCATTGATGAGTCCTGCTTGGCACACTGTTCCACTGCTACCCACAGTTCAGGCATCTTTCATCTAATGGTGAGACTCAATAGAAGGATCTGGAAGGGGGTTTGGAACAGATCAGCTGTCAGGTAGAATATCAACACCATCATCTAAGCAAAGCATGACTAGTACAATCCAGAGGCAATGTGCAAGGCAGTTTTTTTATCCTGAAAGCCTTCCAGAAACAGAGAAAATTAAGCACACGAGCAGCCCGGGAGACCTAGAGAGTCTGGAAATCAGCTAGCTGGCGGGACAAAGCTGTATAAACTTGCAGGAATTTTTATCTAGCTATTTTTTTCTGTCTCTCTGTAATACTGGAAACCAAACCCAGGACCTCAAGCATGCTAAGCAAGCCCTTTCCCACTGAGCTACATCTCTGGCCCTTGGTGAATTCTAAGATGAGACCAGAAGCTTTTGTGTAAGTGTCCTCCTTCCTATGAGCTAGCTCGGCTACTTCAGGGCTGCCGCACGATTCCCTTTTCTTACACAGACCTGAGAGGCCAGCCGTGGGGCGCTCCAGTGACACAGCTGGTTAATGCACAGTCCTGTGGTGGCAAGTGGCAGTGAGGAACAAGTAAAGAGTGGGTTAGATCGAAATAAGGAGAATCTGGCTTGCCTCAGAAGGACAAAAGGTGGGGCAAAACCCAGAATTACATTTAAAGGTACTCTGCTAAAAAAGAAAATCACTGTCATTATTATACCAACATAGAAGGCATTTCAAATAAAGTTTGGCTTAGACAATGCCAACAAAATTTCGGAGAGTCCGCCATTTAATAAACACACGAATATGCATATGTACTGCACTTCACAGCAACAGCTTCTGGAAGAACCAAGACTTCTTTGAAGCACTTGTAGACACGTCCCTTTCCATTCCAGCTGCTTCTGTGCTGCAAACACCAGGAATCTCAAGAGCTGCCATGGTTCACCTCCACCCTGGTCTCCTTTCCAAGTCTATCCCCAGGGGAGGAAATGTGGTAGATCTGCCTTAGCTTTGATGCTGGGGAAAAAAGAGAAGAGAAAGTTACACAGCCATTGAGTCCCATGAATCAAGTTTATTTTTACACATTCAAATAAAGCAGTGATGGAATATTTATGCTCGACCCAGATGGCAAGTGTACTCAGAAATTATTAATATTTTACTACCTAAGAAAATGCAGCTAAACACTGACCACATGATCCACTTGGAAACCAGAACCTCACCTCCCCGACTTGAGGCTTGCTGTCTCTAAGTGTTCACCATTTAAAGTGATTACGGAAATACTTAAAATGCTACTCCTGCCACCGGCCTCTGCTCTCACAGACACTCACTGTTCTAAATCCAACACAGCCACATTCAGGTAGTAATTTGCAGCTCTCCACCCTGAGTCAGGGCACTTAGGAGATGTGAAGGTTACATATTTTTGGAGTTCACACGATTAGAAACTGTCAAAGTGAGTCTGCAAACAGTGGTGACCCGGAGCCCACAGATCCCTTCCAGGTGCTCGCTAGCACTTGTGGTAATTTAACTTAGCTTTAGAAACCTTTCAAGGAGGGTGTGAAGAAAGAACTGACTGTCACCCTGGGTCTGAATGGGTTCCCTTGACACTGAGCATGTGAGTGAATCAACAAAGTCTTTTTAGTAATCAGAGATTTCAAGGTATGACCTACTTTCTAGCTAAGCCAAAAAACCTCAGCAAAGATAAAATACCAGTCTTTCTCCTCTCAGGAGAATGCAGTATGACCAAGGAAACTACCTGCAGTTCAGGGGCAACATCCCGAGCCATCTCACTCAGGTTTTCTATCATGTATATAGATAGGTGTTGCATGTCTGTACACCAGTGTATGCCTGGTGCCCGAGGTGTCAGGAGAGGGAGTTAGAGCCTCTGGGATTAGGGTTCTAGAAGATTATGAACCACCATGCAGGTCCTGGGAATTGAACCAGAATCCTATGGAGGAGTCTCCAGGGCTCTTATCCACTGAGCCATCTCTCCAGCCCCTTGCTCAGATTTTCAACTGGATAGACCCAGACTACTGTCTTCTCCAGAGGGTGCTGTCAGGTGATCCAACTATCCTGGACTCAGGACTACAAGACTGGACCCCTGGAATCAGATCTAGTTTTTCTTCCTTCTCCCTCTCCCTGAACAGGATCTACATAGCCCAGGCTTGTCTTCAACTGGCTCTGTAGCCAAGGATGACCCTGAGCCCCTGATCTCACCTCTACCTCCTGAGTGCTAGGATTAAAGCTATGGACGTCCATGTCTGATTATGGCTTTCATGAAAACATGGCCTCAGTGCTGGCTGCGACTGTACACAGAGCACAGAAGAACCTCGTGACATGTAGGCACACCTGCTTTTCCGATTTTCACATTGCTACCTGTGGTCACTTTCACACAACTGTTTTTCCTCGTGGGAAGAATCAAATTACGACATTAACAATGTCTGTGCGCCAACAATGATAGCATCTTTGTCAATCATTCTAGGTTTGTTTTGTTTAGTTCTTTTTGAGACCGGGTCTCTCTATGTAGCCCTAGCTAACCTGGAACTAGATATGTAGACCAGTCTCACTTCAAACTCTGAGAAATCTGCCTGCCTCTGCCTCCAGAGTGCTGGGATCGATCTCTCTCTCTCTCTCTCTCTCTCTCTCTCTCTCTCTCTCTCTCTCTCTCTCTCCCCAAAGTGCCA